GCTTGCCTCGCGCAAGTACGCTCGAATCATTCAGAAGCTCGGCTTCAACGCCAAGTTTACCGACTTTAAGATTCAGAACATTGTCGGCTCGTGCGACATCAAGTTCCCCATTCGTCTCGAAGGTCTGGCGTCCCGCCATCACAACTTCAGCTCCTACGAGCCTGAGTTGTTCCCTGGTCTCATCTACCGCATGATTAAGCCGAAGATTGTGCTTCTCATCTTCGTCAGCGGTAAGATCGTTCTCACGGGCGCCAAGGTCCGTGAGGAGATTTACCAGGCCTTTGAGATGATCTACCCCGTGCTGCAGGGTACGTTTTCTCATGATGTGTATTTGGACGTCTCACAGTTGCTAACTCGCTGCCCCAGATTTCCGCAAGGTCTAAACATGCGCCTGCACCACTACACAAAATCATGTGCGCGTCGGCTTGACTGCCTGATTGCGTGCATCCCCCCCTTTTTTTGTGATTTGTACCATTACACCCCAATTCTCCTTCACGATACCACGAGAACATTTTTGCCCCCCCCATTTCCAAGTCATGATTTGGCTGTCGGACGTTTGGCCACCCTAGTCTGGGGTCGGAACGTGTCGCACCACAACCATGGCCTGTACCAATTGGTTCATTTCCCGCATTGCACTGGCGTTGGAGGGGAAACAAACAAAGGCTGGAGGAGGGTCCAGCCGAGGCGGCTTGCTTCGAGGAAGAAAAGAACGCGCGTAGCAATACCACGATAGTAATTGCAAAAGAAGTAGCGGTCGTTGACCAAAGACTCGAGGAATGCATGCGCGAAGGCCTGTTGCACGTTGACTTGACGCATGCTTGCGCTGCATGATTATTGTAAACTTTCTGCGTTTATTTGATCCAACTGCAGTGCAGGTCTCATTCATCACATTGCACTGCACATCCGTGCCACTACATCTTCGCGCGGTGGCTCTTAGCCAGCTCCTCGGCCAGCACGAGCCCCAATTTGCCGCCCCGACTCCCATCCTCTGTGACAATGTGCTCGTACACCTGCTCCACGTCGTCGTCCCTTCTCTCGACGCCGCGCCACCGCCACTTGTCATCAAACGCCTCAGGCCGGCGGCCCTCGACGCAATCGACAATGTGGTCGCCGATGATGGGCAGGAACTTGAAGCCGTGGCCGCTGCCCGCCGTCGCGAGGAACAGGCCCCGCCAGCCGGGATGGTAGTCGACGAGGAAATCGCCCGTCGGCGTGTCAGTGTACCAGCAGATGCGCGAGGCGGCAAAGGGGCGGTCGTGCAGCTGCGCGAGGGGGACGGTGGCGCGCAGCACGCGGCGCAGGTCGGCCTCGGCCTCGGCGGGGATGCGCAGGGCCGGGTTCGTCGACGGCGTGTAGGGGAGCGAGGTCGTGGGGGCGAGGCGGCGCTCGGGCCGCGTCGCCAGGGCGGCGGCGGGGGTCGGCGCGGGTTGACGTAGCTCGTAGCCTTGGCGTGCGACTTTGATCTGGCCGCTGGTGGGCGGTATGACGAAAGGCCGGTTCGAGAGGTTCAGCACGA